AGACAGACAGAAGCCAGACAGCGAGGGAAAGCCACTTCCTCCTGAACCCAGGGCCAGGGAGCCTGCAGCCTGGAGAAAAGCTAGTGTTGTCAGTGAGTCTTGATGCACGTGACAGAGGCTTCTACAAGATGTGAGCCAGAGTCCTGCAGTCTGGAGTGACCCACCCAGGATGGGGCCCTGTTGTGCCTTCTTCAGGAGAATGCCATCAAATCAACCGTTCCTCTTCCCCATTCTTCCCCATTTGTAGACCAAAGCTATGATAGAACTAAATGGTCAGATGCAAAATGAAAGAATCATTGACGTTTTCCTGTATTAAAAAAATTCACTAAAAGACCGCTGAGTGCTGAGTTTGGGGCATTTACTGAAAAGTGAAAGGGCAGTCTCTGTTCTCAAGATGTTTACAGTCTAGTTAGGAAGGTAAGCCGACAGACGAAAATTATACTTGAAAAAGAATGTGGTTAAGCGTCCTAAAGATAGAGGATTAGAGTCTGCCTTAATGAAGCCAAACCACAGGGAGGACCAGTGGAGGGGACATTCGTCTTGAATGGCACCTGGAATTAAATTTGGAAGACAAATCCATGGCAAATGCCTAGGATTCTAGGCCATTGAGCAGTTTCCATGGCTGCAACCTTCTTTTCTGATCTGGGAGGATAATAATAATCAGGTACTTATTAGGGATGGGCACTGCACGAGCCCTTTGCAGACACCACCTCAGGTCACCAGCAGAACGGCTCAGAGATGGGTATTCTTAGCCTACTTTACAGCTGTGGAAAGGGAGGCCTTCAGAGGTTAAATAACTTACCAAAGTCAGTCAACGGGGAAGAGTTGGAGGTGGAGTATAAACTCAGCTTGGATGTACAATTTTAAATGTTACAGAAATCTGTAGACAACTATGTTCCCAAAGTGAAAATCTCCTCACAGATCCTAGGGGAAATGCTCCATTGTCCCTTGGAGCAGTGCACGTGCTGGGTGGCCTCTCTCTCTCTCTCTCCCTCTCTGGTGCCAGCCTCCTAGACTCAAAAGCTCCCTGGGAGGGACTGAGACCAATAGCTCCAGGCAGAAGGCAAGATTAGGAGAAAAAAATAATCAAGACCAGGCATCTCGGAGTTCTGGAGAAGCAGAGGAAAGTCCCCTAGGCGAAATATGTCTGAGATGTCTTCTAAGTCAAATGTCGTGGTCCTAGTCTCAGTCCCTAGCTTCTCTGGACTCTAGGGAGGTTCCTCACTCTCACGGGTATGATTAGAGACTAGCCCAATCCTTTCAATTTATATACCACATGTTACCAGGAGTTACTGGCAGAGCCCCTAGGCTGTTTTCTCTTTGTCTCCGAATGGGTCATCTTAGTGCCAACACTGTCAGTAATTTCCCTCAATTGCAAAACTCAAAAAATCTTAACGACTGTTGTGTACATCCTCTGAGACTGTCAAGCCTCGTTTCTCCTTTTCTGTTCCATCTGCGGTACCTTCTGTGGTAGAGGCCTGTGGGGGTGGGTTGGGGGCAGAGAGCAGAGTGGTGCGTTTCTCAGGTGCTGACATCAGACGCTGCTCTTGCTGGCCGACCATCTGCTTCCTCGCTGGAACCCCCGGCACCCCTGTCACAGTCAAGGCCAGCAGCCATCCATTTTGTCTGCCAGGCTCCTTATCGGCCTGGCCCACCGGCAGCCAGAGCTAAGCTCCTTTCACCTGCTGGCTGCTCATCTGGGACATGGGAGGCGTGAAGAAGGGCCTGCCATGCTGCGAGGAGCCAAGATCTTCCCTGCCAGAGCCCCTGCAGATGAGGGTCATGCTAGGTCCGCCCCAAGGTCTCATGCCCTTCCTCTCCTCTTGGGGTAGCGAACACCTGTGCTCTGTGGCTACCAGGGGGAGACACACAGAGAACAAGTGGGGACGCCTGCAGAAAGTGTGCGAAGTCACTGCTTTTCTGCCCCAATGGTGAGGAGCTGGCCAGCCTCACTCACTTTCCTCCTCTTCTTCCCGCACCTTCTAACCCTCTGCAGCCCGTCTCCTAGGCTCCACCCTCTCCCGTGCCCGCCACTCCTTTTTAGGAACCAAACCCCTGGTTTGGAGAGCATGGTAGGTTCCCATAGCAATGGGCCTTTTAGCTGTTTCCATGGCAACCAACACCCAGACCGTTTAGTTGCTAGTCAACTGACAGCTGTAAGTGAATAGGCTTCAGTTTGGAATCTGAGGGATGGGCCAGGGGATTCTCCTCACAGAAAAAGACACAATCACCCAAAATGACTCAACTCTTCTAAGGACGCTGTTAGGCAGTATCTGTGGAGAGCCAGTGCCACCTTCTACCTCAGGTCACACAACAGTGCCCCTCCCATTCCCAACACACACACACACACATACACTCAACAGAATACCCCAGGCTTTTCAATCTTCCAAGCTCCGTTTCCAGTTGTCTCCTCCCACAGGGCCCTTGGGAGAAACACTTGTTCAAGATGACAGTCACCTCAGTGACGTATCTCGCACATAACCCCTTCCTGTGTCAGTGCTCTTCCCGTGTACCATGACCTTGACCTCATACCATTTCACTCCCCAGACTTCCAACTGTGTTGTTTATTAAATAATTATCCTCAGTAAGCAACCCAGTCATTTCGGCAATATTTGCTTTTTGGATTCTCAGACATGAATGGCTAATCCTAGATCATCTTCCCCTGGCCTGGACCTCACCTGGGTCAAGCCATTTTTCATACATCTGTGGGTTTTCTTGGAGAACGGACTTACATCAGCCTTTGCAAGGCATGATTAAGATCAATCTTGTTTCTTTAAAAAAAAAAAAATCAACTAAGATTTCAAAACCAAACGTACAAGCTTGGAAATTACTCCATGCTTATTGCTTTTTATTACCTCAAGATCTGTCCAAATGTCAGCCCTCCCACCTAACCCTCTCCCAAACTAGAGATACTAGATATCAGGTTCCTGTTACTCTGTGAGCATGCTTTTTTAATGACCGGAGTCTGGGATTGTTCTGGCCTGGAATTCATGCAAGAGAGGAGCGGTGTCTGAGCTTCCACAGCTTGCTCAGTGGACTGGAAAAGTATGAGACCGTCATTGGAAAGAGCGTGACCTTTTTTAGGTGGCCCAAGGTTCAGTGCTTCTCAATGCTTTAATGACTCAGGGGGCGCTTATGAACCGTCTGTACAGAAGACGACCTTTCGAACTAATCCCCCCACGGGAGCGCTTCCCAGCTCACAGGGCAGGCTCCGTGTAGCCTCACAGTGGCTGGTAAACAGTTCATAAGCTGTTGCATCACCTTCCTGCTCTGCCTGAAGGATGGGCGCTGGCTGCGCTTTTTTTCTTCGGTCTTCTTTTAGTATGTGCGGGCATGAGTATGGAATCAGGGTGGGCCGCTGTGAGCTTTGAGTGTGCTCGGTGACAGAAGCAGTGTTCTGGGAGCAGGGAGAGAGCAGGCACACATGAGAACCGAGCTTTTCCAGGCATCTCAGTAAGTTCCATGCAGAGGAAGGGCTCATTTTTTTGGAGGTGATCTATCAGCACACATCTGATTGAACCTTCGGATTTTCCTGCTGTTTCTAGGTGAGGAACAAGATCTACCTCCTAGAATCATTGCTAACATCTACCAAGTGTGCACCATGGGCAGGGTGGGGGGGGGCATTCTAAGTGTTTTCCATGAGTAAACCCATTTAGGCGCTGTAGCCCTGGTGTTCATTATACCTCTTTAACAGATAAGGCAACAGAAGCACAGAGAGGTTAAGGGATTTGTGGACTGCCCTGGTAGTCCTATGAATTGGTGAAGGCAGGATCCAACTACCAGCTGTCTGAAGCCAGAACCCACAGCAGTTACCTACCTCCGGAGTTGTCCGAGTATGACAGACCTAGGGCCCATCACGGCAACACCCATGAGTGGGCTGACTCCCTAGACACAACTTGAGAGGATACACCAAGTGTCTCAGCTAAAGAAGACAGTGGTTGAAAGGTTCTGGGAATTAACTAGTAAGTCTTGGCTGCTGCTAATTTTATTCCTGATCTATGCCTGTCCCCTGGTGGTTTTCCTGGGAAACTCACAAGCCAAGGAAATCCAAGGTTCTAGTGAAGTTAGTGGGATGAAATGAACTGGACCACGTGACTTACTTGCTGTCTAGGCACCCCAGTCTAAAAGGGATGGCCTTTCAAGGTCCACATTCCCCAACTCACTCAAGAATAGAGCTGTCGCACCTGTGACTGCTAAAAGGTGATGGACAGTACACTGATTAAAACAGGCAGTGAGATACATGCCCCATGATTATACTCGCACTTCAAAAGCAATAAAGGCCAAGATTTCATTAACTTGGCCATTATCTGCCACAACTGCCCCTTTCATTTTTAAGCTTCTAAACTTTCCTCACAGTTATGGCTCCCAAAAGACTACTATGCTTCGTGCCAACCTGCAACCTCTTGCTCGCTGCTCCCCACCCCCCACGGAGTTCCCTTGACCTTTCACATGTTATCATTGAACTAGGTGGTGTTTGCTTTCACCGCTTCTCTCAAGCACATCTGGTGGTGTCAAGAGTGTGCAAAATAAAGCAAAACTATCATGTCGTTTTGTATAAAACAGATAGGCAGAGTCTAACTGGGCGAAGAGGGAAGAAAGGGCAGTGACTGAATGTGTCCTGTCTTTACTGCACTGTGGGACCATGGGACCGGGTGTCTGCCTTCCACAGATCTGGGGGAAAACACTGAAAGAAGCAGACGACCACCACCAACATGCAGAAGACAAGACTGCCAAGTTTTATTTACTTCAGAAGGACATTTCCAGGGGCATCAGGAAGCCACAAGTTAGTGTTGTTAAAAAAAAAAAAAAATCAAACATCTGCTATCAAGTGCTGCATTTAATGAAAACCACCTAAGACAGAAAAGGAGACAGGAGATCACCATAGAGGACGGGCTGCTCAGAGGGGAGCTTCTGTGGCAGAGCACCTCCCCTCCACCGAGAGGATGGGCACCGCCGGACAGCAAGTCACTGTCGTCCAGTGGAGAAGCTGCGCTGGCCCAATGCGCTGAACTCAAGGAGGCACTTGGAGTCGAGGAACCTGAAGATGTGATATCCCAGGAGGTGGGAGGGGTCTGGAACCCACCCTCTGCTGCCAGGGCCCATAACCCGAGGGCAAGTTATCCAACAGCCCTACACAGCCTCACTCGGGTCCTGACTGCTGGACCCTCCTTCTCCCAACAGCAAAAAACACTGAAGACCATTCAAGCCATGCTTATCCCTCTCCTTCCCTCATTTCTCCCCTACCCCTTCACAAAAGATACTACAAGGGCAATAGTTCAGAGCTCTCAGGAAAGGGGGTCTGGAACCCTTTGGAGGCTGAGAGGCATAACACAGTGGTGTGGAAATTCCTTTCATCTTATGGCACTGATCTAGGTTAGACTGGATTTCTCCTGTGCTCTCTCAGCCCCCAACGGACATACTGGCAGCAGCAGGTCTAGCCTTCGATCTGCACTGGGATTTCCCAGCAGAAGAGATGCTGGCCTTTGTCACCCAGGAGCTCCCATTGCACCACCAGTTTGATCTGAAGAGAAAAAGAATTGGGAAAAATGAAAGCAGGACCTCGCCTCGATCCGGAACAGGTTTAACTATGATTCCTAGTAACAAACTGCCTAATTCCTCAGCTCTCTCTTCTTGAATCATGCCATCAGGAGGGCTGCCTGGGATGTGGGCGCGGCCGGTGCACTTGAGCTCACACAAGCAAACCAAGTCCCACATGTGATTTGGTGTGAGTGGCGCTACACGCTCACCTCACTGGCTCGTGGGATCTAATTCCGAAAGCGCTCTTGTCCCTCTGAGATGAACGGTACATGATGAAGCCTTGCACGGGAGGTAATTTTACATTTAAACAATTTCTTATAGATTTGGCAATCCAATCCAGCTCTTTCCAAGCATAACCAATTAGGAGCAGAGAGCAGAATGTCCAATTCGTAGGCATAACAAAATACCTTGTTACTAGTACTGAAGATATCAACACAAAAAGGATGTCTGAAGAGGTTTAGGACTATATGAATAATTTCTGGAACAGTAACACTTTGTAGCAAAATAGCTTCAGTTATATCTTGAACTTTTTTTTTTTTTAATAACACACCTCATTAGAAATCTCTGCTTTGATTTGTTATAGCATGGATTGCCCCTTCTAATTTTTCTTTTTAAAGATTTTATTTATTTGACAGAAAGAGATCACAAGTAGGCAGAGAGAGAGGAGAAGGGAAGTAGGCTCCCCAATGAGCAGAGAGCCCGATGTGGGGCTTGATCCCAGGACCCTGGGATCATGACCTGAGCCGAAGGCAGAGGCTTTAACCCACTGAGCCACCCAGGCCCTCTGCCTACAATCTTTTAACAGTGCCTAGGTTTTGGGGGTCACAAGGCCTGGCTCTAGATCGAGATGTAATGTTTCTGAGCAGAGTAGACTCTGTTCCTACTGCTTAACACTGGAGGCTCAAATTTCTTCATTCATAAAGCAGACGTAATATTGCTCAGCGAAGTGTGGTCAGGGGGATGGAGGGAGACATTGTGTATCAAAATGGTGTCAGGAAGCGACAAAGAACAGAGGGCCGATGGTGAAGAGGATCTGCCATACCTCAGGATTCCTAACACTCCCACTCATCTCCTCACCCCCCGAGCTTCTGTGCTTCATCACAGACAGATGAAGGACCCTGACCCCAATCTTCTCTTCCTCTCCCCTCAGAGTTCTCATCTAGTCACAGGCCTTCGGCATCCCGAACGACAAGGTCACTTACGGACGGGTACTCATTCTTCACGGGCAGTTTATTCAGGTAGCTGTAGGTCTTGTCTTTTTGGATGGGGCAGTTGATTCCACTCTTACAACCATCAGCCTCAGGAATGGGAAAGGGAACTGGGACGCCCAACACGATGCCATGCACCACAGCTTTGCTACTTTGAGACAGAATATCTAAGAGAAACAAAAGAGAATTAGATAGTAAAGGGAACAGCTTATTTCAAAACCCTAAGGAAAAAATTAAGATATGGTCCCAAGCAACGGCACTGCGAGGAGAACAAATCATCAAGTCTGTATTTCTTCATTCCTGGAGTCTATTTCTCTTTGTAGTTATGCCTAATACCTCTGTGAATGCTACAGACTAAGTATTCACTCTAAAAACAAAACAAAAAAAGCAACCAAGACGCTTGTTTTCTTTGCTCTCACTCCCACCTTGCTCTTAATGGTCTTTCAGTTTCTTGGGGGAATCAGAGCTACGTAAATAACCTTATCCAACAAAGTCACGGAGTTTTTTGGCAGTAAACTTTGTTAATTATATCAGCTTCTGTCAAGTGTACAGGGTATCTTATGGAGTTTTAGAAGACTGATCTCTGGATTCTCAAATGCCCTGCCCGCAGGATTCCATTAGAAAATTAAGAACAAAATGGAAAGGGAGCTCCACAGAAATGCCATGGGCTGTAACAGGAAGAGAGAACCCTTTAGAAACTGGCTAAGATTAGAAAGAAGAGGTGTATTTCTTGCTTTCCCTCTAACCTCCATATCATAAGATGGGCAGGTAGAAGGAATAAATACAATAAAATTAGGGCAACTAACTAGCTGTTAGGTTATCCTGGAGATCCAGAGTACTGGCTCTGTTTCTTCCTTCCTTCCTTCCTTCCTTCCTTCCTTCCTTCCTTTCTGGGTTGGGGATTACTCTTGTTTACAAAGCACGTTTTTGGTTTGGGATAATAGAGGGGGCAGGGTAACATCCAGGAGAGAAAACAACTCTAGGATTTAGAGCTGTCTTTAGGCTTAAGAACAGAAGATGACAGGAACGTTGAGATTTCTTATTAGGCTGTCCCATCTAGTTCGACAGGATAGAAAGCGAGGAAAGGATTCAAAGTAGATGCCCTTTCTAGAAATGAAGCTCAGATTTTTTTTCTTGGGTTCCCAGCGAATTCCCTTAGGAAGGTAGGTCTGAGCTTTGCACAGGCAGGAAGGGAGGTCACGGACGTCCTGACTGCAATGCCTCCGCCCCACATCCCCACGTTTATTCCAATACTTGAGACTTGTTAGGCTTTAAGATGAACTTGAAGGCAACAGCCACTTTTACTCACTACTGGTGAAGGTGACGTTGACACTGTAAGACTGGCCTTTGTGCAGTTTGCAGGGCTGGGTGGGGCATGGGTTCACATTCAGTTCCTTTATAACGCCAACCCCAGAACCTGTTAAACAAAAAGAAAAAATGAATTGGAATAGGAGGGAAAATAAACCACCTATGCTGTCCCTTACTTAATGGGAATGTGCCCTGCTCTCCAAGAAACTCTTCATATTTGATGGCTGAAGGGGAATGAAGAAAATCGGGTAAGTATAAAAAGGCAGCCGCCCTGCTCTGTATCTTCTTGGGAGGGCTACACCAGGGAAAGTCATCCCCACCCCTCCTTCCATTCCCATGCAGGATTTATTTTTTAAAATTTTTTAGAAAAGATTTTACTTATTTATTTGACAGAGAGAGAGAGAGAGAGAGAGAGAGACAGCGAGAAAGGGAACACAAGCAGCGGGAGGGAGAGAGGGAGGAGCAGGCTTCCCACTGAGCAGGGCTATGCTGGGCTCCATAGGGGCTCCATCCCATCGCAGGAAACTGAGCCCAAGGCAGATGCTTAACGACTGAACCAGACAGAATTTAAAGCAGCATACTTATGGCACAAGTGATGGCTCAGGGGCTCAGGGCTGCCATAGAGACTGGCTGCTCCTGAACTAGCCCCCCACCCATGTTCTTCCGATCCTGTCCTGGTTTCGCTCCAAACTGGTGGTCACCGAGCTTTGTATACCCTTACCAGTAAAAGCAATCTTAAGAACACATCTGCAGTATACAAGCGTATACTCCACTTCGGAAACACGCGTTCTTCAAAATTAAGTGTTTCTGGGACACACTGTGTGTCTCTGCAGTCTAAACAAAGGCAAAAGTGCTATTTGTTCCCAATAAATCCTTGCCCTAAACAGGTTCAGTAAAATCTTTCAAAATCCCACTGTCTGATCCAGGCCCCTGAAACTGGACAGCTGAATGGAGAGAAAGCAAGCAAACTGCCTGTTAACACCATCTACACCAAGGAAAGCTTTTTTGTTTTTTTTTTTAAAGAGATTTTGTTTGCCAGAGAGAGAGAGAGAGAGAGCACATACAACCACGGGGAACGGCAGGCAGGCAGAGGGAGAGGGAGAAGCAGGCTCCCTGCTGAGGCTCCATTCCCAGGACCCTGGCATTAAGACCCAAGCTGAAGGCAGATACCCAACCAACCGAGCCAGCCAGGCGCCCCCGAAACACCCTCCCCCTCCCACCCCTGCCAGGAAAGCTTAAGCTCTGCCTTTCAGCCATCAAGGCTGAGAGATAGGCTCTGGGACTGACACCTGGGTTTGCAATCTCACAGGCTCCAGGACTTACTGCAAAACTTCAAAACAAGATACGTCTCTCCTCTGGGGGAAAGTTAACAGTGACTGCCTCATAGGGTAAGTGAGCTAACACACTTAGAGCTCTTAAGTGTTTGCAACATAGGAGCGCTATGTAGGTGTTCATTTTATTACCATCTCATCGGGATTTGGTCCTCGAAGTTAATCTAGAATAGCTGCTCCTGGGTGGGTTAGCAAGTTCCTTTTTGACACAAAAGGTGGGCCTCTCCTTTGCAGTCACCAGGTTTGCTCAGCCCATCGGATATGAAAAGAGAAGCTCATGTTGAAGGTCTTGGCCTTCTCAGCCTGTGCCTGCTCTTGGCTGGGACAGTTTCATCGAACTGACCAACACTGCTCCAGGGAGGTCTGCAAATAATAACTTGCCATCCCTCATCCCCAGCTTGCTTCTCCATCATGAGCAAAGTTCTCAAAATACACCTGCAAGAACTCTCTTCTGCAAGCACTATCTTCCGCTCACTGTGTCCTCCTATCTTCTACAGACAGGAAAACCGATATCCGGAACTTGAATCAACAACCTATTGAAGATCAGTGCTTATGCTAGAGCTTTCAACGTCCACTTCTATCTGCTTCTTTCCAGACTGGGTCACGTGTTCTAGGAGGATCCGAGGAAAAAGGGCATTACTTGGAGCTCCTTCATCCACTTTTACTGACAAGAGGTGCTTGGACTTTCAATGTCCACAGAACAAACTCCTCAGTCCTAATCGGCAAAAATAGCCAAACCAGTTTGCTTGGCCGCATTGCTTACTTGAGGAAATACCACTCCAGGGGGAAGGGTCAGTGGTAAAGCAGCACTTGAAAACCCTTTGATGTGGGCACTGACGTTTTTACACTGTTATTTCCCAATTCAGAAGTCAATTGAAAATCTGTAACTGAAACCATCCTTCCCTTTAGAAGTTCTTGCCATAGGTGTAGAGCTGCTTTTTTCAAATGAGAACAGTATCTGGATTTGGTTTCCGGATGTTAATTTAATGTTACCACTGAAACCCAAAGTGGTTCACAAACACCCACTAATTTCCTACAGCTTACTAGCTGTAAGAACTGGGTAAGTTACTCCATGTGCCTGATTCCTCATCTGTAAAACAGATCCTGAGGGCTGAATGAGTTAATAAAGTTAATATAATATCTTCATCCAAATTTGGCCACTAAGTTTAATGGAGGGAAAGGCAGTAATTTGAGGCGATAACAGCATCTTTCAAGTGCCAGTAGTTCCGTGGAACAGCATTTGTTAAGTATTAAGAGGTCTGCAGTCTTTACTCTTTAATCAATCCTGTCCCCTAGCCCAACTTTGTTTTTGTTTCAACATAAATTTTGATGATATAGTGGAGATTATCTATTCCCTCATTTACTTTTTCAACACATATTTACTGAGCAGTTTCTATTACCTGGGCACTAGATATAAAGGATCAAACTTACTCTCGTTCCCACTCTGCTGGGTGACTTTGGGTAAGTTACCCAACATCTCTGGAGTTCAAGAATTGACTCCAGGATCTCCAAGCTTCCTTCCAGCTCACAGATTCTATAAAATGTCTTCTTTCACTTATCATCCCACCTTTTCACTTCTGGAAAGTTCTGCTCGAACAAATAATTCCATAGACTTGACTCACTATTTAGTACCCGCCCCTCCCGCCTTGTATTTCCCCAAAAAGATCCCTACTACAGAGACAAGAGTGGGTTATGTGTCACAAGCTGTGACCAGCAACACGAGTTTTACGTACAGGAAGAAACAATGATGAAGAATCACAAAATTATATAGCCCAAAGGAAGCGGCAATGGAGTAAATCATGAAAAGGAGAATTGGCTTTAGACTGGTCAGCAAAAGGGAAATTAAAAATAAAAGCAAGCGGCGTGGGGAGGGAGAGGTCATCCAAGATACGAGGCGTACACAAAGTTCTGCGCCCCACCGCTCACGCCCCGCGTAGCACTGGGATCTCTAGTGGTTTGCCCTACAAACTTTAGGAAACTTCAGCAAAAGGCCCAGCTCCAGGTAATGTTCAGGGACCCCAACCACGCGTCTCAGAAAAGAGACAAAGTTGTCTGCCGTTGGGTTTCGCTACCCGCAGCTTCTCCCCCACCCCGGCCCACTCCAGCGGCTGAGCCTGACCGCCCGCGGGACCCGCCCAACCTAGCCGGGGGGTCTCGGCGCGGGGTTCCCGAGGGGGCTGCTGCAGAGGGCGCGGGAATCTCGGGCAGGTTGGGGCTCACCGCAGTCCTTGAAATGCACCGGCTCCGCCAGGGCGGAGACATCGAGCGCCAGGAGCAGGAACGCGGCGACCAAGAAACGCATCGCAGCTAAACGGGTTCCAAGCGCGAGGAAGGAAGAGGGGATCGTTCCAGTCACAAGATAAACCTGCCGGGGCGGGCCGGGGGAGGAGCCTGGTCAGGCCACTCATCACCAGCATCTACGGCGGGCCCTGCCCGCGCCCCGCCTCCCGGCCAGGAGAGCCAAGCTTGCCTCGGTCCCGCCCAGACGCCAGCTATCTCCGCCCATCTGGTCCTCTCCTCCCATCTGGTCCCCTCCGCGGCTTCGCAGGCTTGGATCCAGCTCCGCCCCGCCGCCTCCTCGCACAGACGCGCCTCTGGATTTTGTTGGTGCGCCTTCGCTTCCGTAAATGGAAGCATTTCTAGCCAATCAAATCTCTTCTCCTCCAGCACCACCCAACAGGGGCGCTCGGGGGCGGGGTCTCTGTGGGTCCCGCCTCCGAAAGCCTAGGTGGAGAAAAGGATTGGGGCGACGCGGGGGGCGGGGTTTGTGGAGGAAGATGGCTGCCGTCCGCGGACTGTCTCTAACGGCCGCGGCGCTGAGAGCGGTCACTCCCTGGGCAAGGGGCAGGTACCAAGCCTACAAAGGCACCTGGGAAAGGTGTTAGGTTCTGCGCCTCCAGAACTAACGGGGGAACGAAGGCCTGCGGGGGAGGCGAGGGCTTGGTGTGAGGCTGTCCAGGTGGAGGTCGTCAGGGTTGCCGGGAGGCTGTTCAGGTAGAAGTGACCTAGGTGCCCCTCTGCTCCCGGGCTCATCCTCCTCCCATGTGCAGCAGGCTCCTTGCGGCCTCTCGAGGACCTCAGGCTCGTCGGGAAGCGTCGTCCTCCAGCCCCGAGGCCGGCGAAGGGCAGATCCACCTCACCGCCAGCTGCGTCCAGGTAGGAGGTCGGACGCGGGGCGGTGGTTCCCCGGCGAGGGCCAGGAGTGCGGGGACTTCCCCTTGGCCCACCCTTCTGCCACCTCTTGCCGAGTATTCTTGATCCCCGTTTTTGCATTTCAGAGACTTCTGGAAATCACCGAAGGGTCGGAATTCCTAAGGCTGGAGGTGGAGGGAGGTGGATGCTCTGGATTCCAATACAAATTTTCCCTGGATACAATTATCAACCCCGACGACAGGCAAGAAGGAAGGGGTGGGTCCTCAGAGAATGTGTGGGAGGGATAAAAGTGCACGTTTGTTTCGAATTTAAAAAGTTTGCTAAGAACGCCCAACACCATCCTTCTCACACAGCGGGAATACAATGAGGATTTGTTGTCATGATTCAGAATAACTATATTACAGGAGGGAAGCTGGCCTCCCTAGGTCCTTAGCATAGTCAGGCTGGACTGGATTCCAGGCCTAAATCCCTAAACCATTACCAGTATTCATTCCATTGACCCTTTTTGCCTCAGAGAAAAGCAGCACTTGTTAGAGGTAATAAGGAATGCTTCTCCTGTATTTGGAAAAACAGGATATGCACCCCAGGGCTCAGAGAGTGTTATGGTTTTGGTGTTTATGATAGTCCTTAATGTCTTCCTCCTGTCTTTTTCAGGGTGTTTGAACAGGGCGGGGCGAGAGTGGTGGTTGACTCTGATAGCTTGGCCTTTGTGAAAGGGGCCCAGGTGGACTTCAGCCAAGAACTGATCCGAAGCTCATTTCAAGTGTTGAACAACCCTCAAGCTCAGCAAGGCTGCTCCTGTGGCTCATCCTTCTCTGTCAAACTTTGATGTGATGACAGGTGACCCAGAGATTGCTGCCACTTGTACCAATTTGAGGAGCCTAGGATTAGTAGAATTCTAGAAGTTTCCTTCCAATCATGTCTTCCTCTCAGTTTTATTTCCCTCAGTCCAGGAGTGTTGTGTTTTGCCACTGTTATTTTCAGAATATGAAGCTTTTACTCTCGATCTGTTTTTCACTCACACATTTCTGAGGCCAAGCCTCTAGGTGCTGTGATCTAAGATACACTAACTGGTTGAAATCTGCCTGCTATAATCTGTAGAGCCTCCAGCGTTCCAAAATTTGGAGTCACTTCTCAGGTGCTTGTACATAAGTGTGTAGCTATGTATAAAAGCTCCATTCTGAAGAAAGTCCTTAGTTACTTGTGTTCTGGATCAGGGTCACAGATTGGGTAGCTTGAACACTGGTTACTAGGCTAGAAAGGATGAGAAAGGCAAACGGAAGTTTCTCTTTTTCATCTCACTCTTCCTGAATGTGCTAGTGACACCCTTCTTTTTCTTTCTTTCTTTTTTTTTTTTTTTTTTTCCTTTTCCTCCTACATCCTTATTTTCTGTGCTGCCCATTCCCCGCTTCCCATTTGTTAGGGTAGATATATTTTCCTCTCTTACTCGCAGGTCTGCTAGATTCACAAAACCAGTAGTCCATCACCCAGGAAACTTGGATCTAAGCCCCACTGATAACCTGAATCATTTAAAAAATAGGCCTCATACTCTGTACTCACACAGACATTTCAAGATTCTGCGATTATTCAATGACTGAGTCTTTTTAGGACATGTTGCTTTACTAAAATGTCTTTGGTCTCATGCATAGCAGGAAGGGGTCCCCTTGTTGTAAAGATAATGGATGGTTAGGGATTTTCTTTCAGGTTGGATTACCAGATAAAATGCAGGATGCCCAGTTAAATTTGAATTTCAAATAAATAATTTTTAGTGTCAGCGTGTCCCAAATATTTTATGAGACATATACTAAAAATTACTTGTTGTTTATCTGAAATTCAAATTTAACTGGGCATTGTGCATTTTTATTTGTTAAACCTGGCAACTTTATGTTAGGGTTGCTGAAAGAAAAGCTCTTGAAGCCACAAATTCCAATGAATTTTAAAGTACTTGTTTGGGTATGGCACTTAATTAGGCTACAGAGCTAGCAATAGTTGTTGTAAGTATGTGACAGTGCTGGGGGACCCAGAACTTCATGGACAGACAACTAAAAAAAAGACAGAATGACAAATGATTTATTAATGCTCATGTGGGAAAACCACAACCAAATTGGTTCTGGAAAAATTATTGGTTAAACTCTTGTTTTCCTCAATAGCCTAAAAGTTCATTATAGCAAAAACTTGCATTTCTGGACTGGATTAAGGTCATTCAGCAAAAGAATTTACCATTAAAAAGGGAAATGTAGATTTTAGAGACAAGATGAAGCTTGGGTACTTATATTTTCAATATGGGAAAACCTAGGATTTAGAGAAAGCAAGCTGTTGTGTGTACAGTGTGTACAAAGAGAAGGAAGGGACACTCAGAAACCTGACCTTTGCAGATTTCCATGGGAGGAGGTAGAAAACGGGATATCATGGGAGCGTCTGTTTAAGTTTACTAAGACATTTAAAGTTGCTGCCCATACCTGGGCCTAATTAGATTTTCAGCTCAGACTAAGTCTTTTCATCCTCTTTAAAAAGAGATTTTGCTACCTTTTAAATGTTGGAACATATTGTTTTAAAGAGTGCACTTTATTTTTATTTACTTTTTTTAAATAAGCTCAATGCCCAGCATGGGGCTTGAACTCATGACCCTGAGATCAAGAGTTACATGCTTTACTGACTGAGCCAGCCAGGTGCCCCATGATTTTGTGATTTTAAAACTCATGCAGAGCAGGAGCTTAAATGCTTTAGTTGCTAAATAAACCATTAAATTGCAATGGTCACTTAGATAGGAACAGAGTCCCTTTGAATGCCTATATCTAAGTACCTGCTGCTAATGGGGAGAATTGGGATTCTGTGTTTTAGAAAGGGTGGGTTTGGGAGAAATCACCTCACTTTATCACACTAGAAAGCCTCGTGAGAAAATCTGAAGTAGTAATAAGAAGCTTCCATTGGAGTAGGATGATGTAGAAATTTTAACAGCAGAGAGCATAGAGAAATAATAGCATCAAGGGGATACTGGGCAATTTGCTTGGAATAAATAGTAAGCTTAGTAAAATAGGTTTAGGGTCTTTTGCAGGCCCTTTATGATCAGGTGCCCTCTTTCTGGTAAAGACCAGCAGATGTTTTCACAAATTTTGCTTACTGTGCAAATTCATTTAGGAAAACTTGATACTCTTCTGGTATCCATTGGAAGATTTTTTTGCTTCCCCATTACTTTCAAGGAGAAAGGCCTTATTGTTGCAGAATTGGTTTTATTTATGCAAGTTAGAGAGTGTTTGGGGGTAGCATGCCCTGCCTTTGCCCTAGTAAGATATGATGCAAGAAGCAGAAGTAAGGGAGCCCTACATCTGCTTTATGTTGTGAATATGCCTTTTTTTTTTTTTTAAAGCAGACACCACCCCCCCACCCCCCTCCACCCCCCACTGAGCATGGAGCCCAGTGTTGGGCTGAGCTGGATCCTGGGACTCCAGGGTCACGACCTGAGCTGAAGGCAGATACTTGACCGATTGAGCCACCCAGGTGCTCCAGCGGTTTTTTTTTTTTTTTAAAGATATTATTTATCCATTTGACAGACAGAGATCACAAGTTGGCAGAGAGGCAGGCAGAGAGAGAGAGGAGGGAAGCAGGCTCCCTGCCGAGTAGGGAGCCCGATGTGGGGCTCAATCCCAGGGCCCTGGGATCATGACCTGAGCCCAAGGCAGAGGCTTTAACCCACTGAGCCACCCAGGCGCGACCCCTTCTTTTTTTTTTTTTTTTTTTTTAGGGTTTTATTTACTTATTTGAGAGAGAGAGGGAGAGCACTAGTAGGGGGCAGGGCAGAAGGAAAGGGAGAAGCAGACTCCCCACTGAGTAGAGAGCCTGAGGCAGGGCTCCATTCCAGGACCTGGAGATCATGACCCAAGCGGAGGGCAGATGCTTAACCGATTGAGCCACCCAGGTGCCCCTATTGTCTATCTGCTTTATGTTGGTGGCTCAAAAAGTGGGGGCCTCTTAGTCAACATCCAGATCTTAACCTTGTGGTGGAATCATACTCTTCAGTTCTGTGATTGCTAGTGACTAGCGGTATGTGAGCTATAGGTGTCCCACCCGTCCTTAGTTTCTTTGTGTGGGAATGTCCACAGATTACAAGGGATTAGGACAAAACAGGCTTAGAAGAGATTAGGAAGGGCTACTAAAGTAGGTGTCCAAGAACTTTCTAACTTTTCTAACTTCTAAGAGTTGAAACCTGTTAATTAAGTCTCCTTTTATACAGCAGTGAGCATACATAGAGAAGCGGGGAGCACTGACTGTGTGGCGTAGCCCGCCTTCAGTGCTGGCTGAGAGCCAATAGGTGCCGCTGGTAGTGTCTGGGACCCAGCATTGTCCCCTGCAACATAGTTACGGTTTTCCATGTTTGTCTCAAAGGCGGGAAACTCTTCTACTTTTCTAGGTATCTAGCAGTGGTGTTTCTGATTGCTCTTTTAAAAAAATCCGTTTGCCCTTTCTCCACAGAAATGCTACAGGGCTATTTAAAGAAAGTTTGCTTTAAGAAGTTCGGAAATAATTATGTGGCTTTAATTGTCAGATAAATACATGAAGAAGGGAGCATTTAAGCAGTCTATGGCCAAAGCTGTATTTAAAAATATTTTATTTTTTTGGAAAGGTAATACACATGGTACAAAATTCAAAAAGACACAAAAGGGGATACAGTGAAAAGTCTCCCAATCCTGTACCCATCCACCCTGTCACCCTCCCCACAAACCACTGTTGGTTCTAAGAATTTACCCTATAGGTATAATCCCATAGATATAATGTGAAATAACATATACACAAGAATACTCATTATGGCATTACTTATAATAGCAAGAGAGGGGAAACAATGGAAATGTCCATCAGTAGGGGATTGATTAAATAAATTATGATTTATCTGTTCGATGGAATAATATACAATTATAACATAGAATGAGACAGTTCTTTATGTGCAAGTCTGGATTAAGTGAAAACAAGTGCAGAACAGCATGCATAGGATGCTACTTGTGTTTTTGATACAAAGAAATACGTGTATGTGCATGAAGTTTTTCCGGAAGGGTGAGCAGGAAGGCGAGGGCTGGGAGGCGGCGCAGCGCCAGCGCATATATGGAAGGGTGGTAAGAAGTTCTCTGAACCGTGGGGTGTGAGGCGGAGTGGCGAGGAGGAGGTCCCCAGATACCCAGGTGTCTTTCCCCTTTCTTTAGACAAATAGCAGCACACAGTCTACTCTGCTCTACAGCCTTTCCCCGCTTAGTTTGTTTGGATTTCTTATCAGGACATTTAGAGCCATTTTTTTTTCTTTCATTTTTAGGCCCCTGTAGCAACTGATTGTTTCTGATCTTTTGCTGTTACAAGTAATGCTATAATAAATAACCTCTTACACGTGTCATTTCACATTTGGTGAGACTATATCTGAAGGTTAAATTCCTAGAAGGGTTAGAGTAAGTGCTTTATAATTTTGAAAGACATTGCCATATTACCCTCTTCAGAAGTTGCATCCTTTTAAGGCCCTGTCAGCTGCGTATGTGAGTCCCTCTTTCACCAGAAGCTTGCCAACTAGGAGTTTTAGCAAACTTCTGATGCTGGCCAATCTGACAGCCTTAAAAAAGTGTCTCAAGTGTGGTTTTAACTCACATTTCTTTTGTTAGGAATGTGTAACGATGTATTTTTGTCTGCTGAAAACATCTCAACTAGTACAGCGACATAGAGCAAATTGTTTAAACCCTGTGTGTCTCAATTTACTCATCTATACATTGGGAATAAAAATAGTAAGTGGAATTGCTGGATGATTAAATGAAATTTGTGGTCAGCACTAAGTAGAGTGCCTGGCACATAACAAGCATTCAATAAGTTACTATGGGATGGCCGGCAATTAGAGCAGCAGGTAGGACAGGACAGATTAAATTAAGAAAATAGCATTCATCTCCATGTCTTCAGGCACATGGAGTCTTGTTTACTTACGTTGCCTTTCATCAGACAAATGCAAAGGCAGAGCTTTCCTTGTCTTAGAAGAATAAAGAACCTTTTCCCATTGGATCCCAATCAGAGGCTCTTGGCAGAGCTGGCAAAAGGATAGGCACATCCTCGTGTCTAACATTTAGACTTAGCCAACATAGTAAAGAAATTTAGTTTAATATGAAATAAAAACAAAAATAGGAGCCCAAATGTACCTTTCTTTATTCCACCGTGGTTCTCAACTTCTAGCTGGCCAAGGATGGAGTGGGTCTCTACTTGTAAACTGGGAGGGATGCCAGCCTGTCTTCCCATTTTTGAGAGAAAGACAGCAAGGGCTTCTGAGTAGAGAGAAGAAACGACGTGGGGAATTTGGCTTCCCCTAAACAAGACTGCACTGTATTTCACGAGCCAGAGAATAGACCCCTTTATTTTTAGTACCTCAAACAGGTACCCACAAAAGGAGAGCCCAGGAGAGATTGTGTCGTGTAAGAAGCAGTGTGTATTTCATACAGGTCATCGGAGATGGGCCCGTCCTATGGCAACCTTGCTGTGGTGCACAGCAGCTGTCCTGGGTAGACTGTGAGTGCTTACCCAAAGCAACCGAACATTTTCTTTAGCCTTGTTGAAAGCCTTGGCTCCCCCTTTCTTATCACCTCCCCATATTTTCCGTATTGCCCTCTTGCTGCTTTCTCAGTCTCCGTGCTCCCCTTCATCTGTGTCTCTTCCACTCAGCAAGCTGGTATCAGTCTTGCTCCTCTTAGATGAGGGGATCTTCCGCCCCTGCCCGGGGCCACAGCACTGCTAACGGGATGGAGATGTGGCAAAATCT